GGTGAGCACCCAGCCGCAGGCTGGCTGACCGATCCGCCTCCTCCCCTCTGCCAGCGCCAGCCCAGCGCTGCCCCACCGACGGACAGACAGACGGACGCAGCAGCGCGCAAGCTGGCCCCGTCCCAGTGCTACGGCCACCCTCAGCCCGTCACGGGCGATGGGGCAGTTCTCCTTTGTGGCACCCCAGGCAGACTACTGGCAGGGGAACTGGTGCTGTACCCGCAGCCCATGGCCTCGGGGCTTTAGTCAGGTTTTGCTCCCGCACACACCTCCTGCACCCCACCTGCGGCTTGTCAGCTCCCAGCCGCCTGCTCCCCGGCCTCCCCTCCCACCCAGCTCAGTGCCAGGCTCCTGCAGCGCCCGGACCCCGCGTGTCCACCACAAAACCAGCTTCATTACCCTTAAGGCCACCTCCAAGTGGGAAGCTGGAGAGACATATGGACAGCAGAGACATTTGGACAAGAGAGTTCGATTTCTCTGCACTGAAAGTGGTGGGAGAAGTCGAGGGCTGCTCCCTGCGCGCTCCCCGAAGCCAGCCCAGAGGGAACGCAGGCAACCAGGGAGTTTCGAAGACACCGGCACTGCACATCTGAGAGGAGTCTCCTTAGCAATTTCTCCTGCAAGCCACGATGTCTGTGGTGCATGCAGGCAGCGCAGCAAGTAAACCAGAGCTGTGCAGATACAGTGACCTACGGTGTGATGGTCCCTGGCACCGGGATGCAAATATTGCAACATTAACCGTCAGAACTTCTGCATTTTCACTTCACTGAATGATTAAATACACTGCAATTACACCACCCTGAGGCCCTCTTCAGCCCCAGATGGTGGGCACACAGAACAGCACAGGCACATCGGAGTAGTCAGGTCGACAGACCTGATCCCAGCCATTCTGATTCCCAGAATGGATCCATGCTGGGAAGAGCAATTCGGAGGCGGCACCAAAATGGACCCTGAGTGGCAGAAACCTAAAGCAAACAAAATGCGGTTCTGAATCTGTGAACACCTTCTGGACCGCCATAAAGTAGTTTACACTTCCTAAGAGGACATGACGAGAGTTTAATTCCTAGCAATTTACTGAGATGTTGGTACATATGCTTGTAGGTAGCACAAAACTGCACTGCGTCTAAGCCTCAAAACATTTCACAACAGATCCAGAGAAGAGGGAGAGGAAGAATCGGCCATCCCCACCAACATCCTCAAAGAGAATTTTAAGCTGTCTTTCAAAAGCACAGAATAAAAATGCTGCCAGAGAGCAGAGTCTGCTCACAGATAGGTCTGCACCTGTATCAATATTCACAGAGCATCAGCTATCACGCCAGAAACAGCTCCCTTCATGACACCCTGACTCAGGACTCCACTCCCAAACGCAAGAGTGGATGATCTGTCTCCCTTGCTGCTAATGGAAGCTCATCTCTACCAACACCAGCCTGCCTGAAATCAAATGAAAAGCTCAGACCTTTTCTAATGCCTATTAGGCTGCAATACAACCACATCTCCAAAAATGACCTTTTAAAGCAACACAGGTATTTCCTTTTGTTTGCCATCCTCCGGTGGCTGGGTACCATTAGAATTTGCCCCAACCAAAGGCTCTCCAAGGGAAGTCGCCGGTGAAGACTAATGAGAAGGGCTGAGCTGGTCTAACTCTGAAAGGTGATGAGTAATTACTGACTCTCCAAAGTAAAGTTGATGCAAGTAATCAATGTCCAGTACTTCTGAACATAGGAATGAAATTATATTTGAGAGAGACTGAGGAAAATGGGAAGAAAGCGAGGAAAAGAGATGACACTTTACTGTGGAAAAGCCCATTCTGAACAGTCCTCAGCACCCTTTTATTCCAGCCAAAATGTATGAGGTCTATTGGCTCTCTTCATTTGCACTATAAATTTAGTAACTCCTCCATTTTCCAGATGAATTTTAATTGCATTACATGCTATTGATTTCACAGTCACAGAGGACATCTCTAAGAATTTATTTTGTGCTACCATTAACCACTTTTACAAACACTAGATAAGCAAACGCTAACACTTACTTCACTCAACCTGCAAAGACCACAACTGAATTTTATCTCTACTTTCTCCCAGACTCATTCTTGGTACCCCATCCACCTAGAGCTTCATGCTGCAACCCCAAATTCCAGTCTTTCCCTGCCTCCAAGCAAATGACCTGTACTTACATCTCCAACTCATCAAGAATTTGAGACATTCAAAACCTTCATGGAAGTCTGTCTGTTTTGGTTAAGCAAACAGAAAACCTCCCCAAAACATACGGATTAGAATTCACCTTAGTCAAAAAAGGAGCAGCTTAAGTTTATACAGCCTGGATGTCCCTCTTTAAGATCGTCTGAATTATCTGTTCACTGCACCACCATCGCTGGTACGGATGACTTGTGGTTAACTAGGAACTTCTAGTATGAGGAGACTGCATGAAGCAAATACTCCTAGAATATCCAAATGTTCTGGAAATCTGCAGTGATAAATGACTACGCTAGCATGGGAGGAGAAGGAGGAATGGGAGTTTTTCTCTCCCCTTTTTCCATTGCCCTACAGGAAAAAGGTAAGTAACTTGCTTTAAGCAAAGTTAGCACCGTTCTCTGGTTTCAGTAGATAAAGTGCTATACAGTGACAGCCAACAGTAACCCGAACGCTATACATACCTGGATGTATCGCAAGGCACTCCTTAGGACGCTGAGGTTTGAGGTCTTCTTGTCGTCTACGTTGGGGATGTTGCGTTTTAATGTCTCAAAGCATTCTTTCAAATGTGCACGTCTAAAGAAAACACAGGTGGTTTGTCAGTTTGTGGGAGCACACACCAGAAATCAATTTAGCAGAGGGCTAGAGCTTAATTTGGGCCTTAATCCAGCAAAGCACTTACACATGTGCATAGCAGTCACCGAGACTACCTGCATGCTTACAACTGAACCAGCTCAATCCAGCAGGAGGACTATGGGGTTGTATGCCTGGATTCTAGTCCTAGCTTTGTTAGGAAACCATAGTGCAATCTTAAATTAAATCTCTCATCTCCCTGTGCTGTTGCTTCCACTTTCACCGTATTTCCGATTTATCTAGTTAGACTTGTAAGAGTTTTGGATCAGGAACTGGTCTTTATTCTGAACTCACACTGTATACTGACCCCCGATCTTGGCTACTTTATTACTTTAAATCAAAAGAGAAGTTACACCGTTATGCACGTGGGGATTTACTTTGCGGGATCAGGGCTTTGCAGGGTTATTGTAATGCAATTACGCAGGTAAGTAAAACATAGTGGGAAGCAAGAGATGCAGAATTGAGCTATAAGAAAGCAAAGCAATACTGCAAGATTCATTAAAAGCCACTAAGAATTTTGTTCAGGTTATTTGTTAAAAAACAAACAAACAAACAAAAAAACGCCAAAGCCAAACAAATATTGACAGACTATAGGCCAAAAAAAAAAAGGAAGGGGAATTACAATTAAAAAAAAAATCAAACCCCTGGCTTTCTACGCACCTGTTCTTCTCCAATTTATTATGTACTTCCCTGGTCCCAACCCTGTAACCCAAACAGAACAAAGATAAACTCAGTGTCAGGTTTAAAACTACTGCCATTCAACCTGTACTTTCACCAGTGCGTGTGTGTCTAGGATATACAGGTAAATATTAAAAAGCAATAGAGGTGTTCAGATATCGCTATTTTAATACAAGTTGCATATAGATTTCTACCTATACCGTATCAAGATAAAATCCGTACTTTACATGCATATTAGATGGAATAAGCATTACACATATACTGCACACAAGATACAAACAGGTGTAACGTGTGTATATACACACAGACACGGCTACTATCAACAACAGGGAAAGACACAAAAGTATGAGTTGTATGTATTTACACAGTACTAGATAGCCCAGATTCTGACCCACCTACACTCTGGTGGGGTAAGATTTATGCAGTTTCAAATGAAGTGTAGGGGACTTGGCAGACATACTTCAAACCGCTTTAGTTTTTTATTGTGCCTGAAATAACACAGCTGAGCATAAATACAGAATGAAGTAATCCAGGAATCCTCCAGTCACTGCTAAAGGAAGAACCAGGGCGAGCTTCTGGTTTTTTGGGTTCTGGTCTGTCCCCACCCTCCAAATCAAGAGGAATACTTTTAGGAAAAGCCAAACAAATTCATGTTAACTTAGTTTTTCAGCCACAGTGGTGATAAAGTACATTAGTAGACACGTGAAGATTTCAAATATCTTCCATACACTATGCAAAGTAATTATTTTCCTTTGGCTGAAAATACACTGACAGTGAGGTGAGCATTTCAGGAGGTACGTTAATATTTAATAAATATTCAGGTATTTAAAAACAAGTATTTGACAGCCTTTTTCCATGAAACATTTACAAGCTGAAAAAGACATCTTTTCTGTGCTTATGTCTAAAGGAATAATTCCGGGGAGACAAGGAGCATGCACCTTGGGGTAACCCATCAAAATGCATTTCAGGAAACCTTTGCAACTCGCTCAGCATCAGACAGGTATTTTTCTGGTGTGCCTATGCCAACAGCTCTAGAAATCCTGCACGGTAAAATGCTCTGATTACGGCACAGACCCAGCGGTGATGCTGCACTTCACGCTGGGACAACAGCCCTCCCAACTTCCCAGGAGCAAAGCTCGGCGTGACGGCACAAGAGCAGTTTGCTGGTGCAACCGCAGCCACCCCACTGCCTGCTGCCAGGACAGCTGCTGCTCAGACAGCAAAACTCCCCGCAGCCTTCGCTGGTACCCCCGTGCCGTCGGAAACCCCCTCTACACCCGTCTGAACCCACATAACAACATCAGTGACAGGTTCGCTTGATTAAAGCACAAATATACTTATCGTTTCTGCAGCTGAGCGTTTTATAGACAAGCTTTAAAGATCACAATCTATCTTAGTGGAATTATATTGGCATTTTACAAAGGCCATTATCTTTACAAATTCTTATCTACATTACTTTCACTATTTCCTTCTATGCATTTTGGGATCTCTACATCCCAAAGGACACTATGAACCCTTTTTTTGTCCACTACATCTTACACCTCTTCCTGCTCCCACAAGATGATACTGAAACTACCACTCCTCGCATGGAGGCCGTCCACAGGGAAGGTCAGTACCAATTCACAGCCCCGCACTCGTGCTCCTCTCACAACTGGCTCACAGTGGTTCTGCATTACAGCTCAAAGCAAACGCCGTAAGGACCAGAGGACCTGGGGAAAAGAAAGTGAACTGCCACGTCCTGACCTTCTGATACATTCAAAATACTGAGCTCCATCCAGGACGGAGCAAAAGGCAAGGCCAGATTTTGACCTGGCCAAAATGTTTCTCCCGAGCAGGTCACTAGCCCAGAAAGGACTGCATTTTGTCTGTCTCTTCTGCTGGCACTTGTTTAGGCTGGGTGGACCGGAGCGACTAGCAGGGCCTCCACCTCTGCTGGGTCTGTGTCAGCACAGCAGCCTGAGCCATACTGGAGTGGGACAAGGCTGCCGCTGCTATGCTGCACAGCAAGAGGGGGACTCCAGCTGGCATTTTGTCTAGCAGCGTCTCCTCTGAACTCCTGACCAGATCCCCACCCCTGCCCTGAAACCAGTGGTACATTTGCTTTATTGCACTGAACAGACAAGACACACAGAGCGACTTTCTGCCCAGCCTCCATGGGATTAGCATACCATTTTAAACACCATTGCAAAGAGTTATCTACCAGCTGCAGGCAGTCGGGAGAATGGTCAGAGGTCTAGACAACATGGCCCAGGAGGAAAGACTGAACAGATCCAGGTCATTTATCCTGCAGGAAGGAAGACTGAGGGGCCAAGGGAAACAGGTAAAAGCTTGCTGCAAAGAAGGGAACGATTTGTTCTCCCAGTCCACAAGAAATAATACCAAACTACGTATTAGGATACTGTGGTCTGGACACAACCACCTAAGAAGACAGAGTCTCCACCAGCCAAAGTCCTTAAGAACAAGTTAGACAAACACTAACCTGGAGCAACATCAGTCACAAGTCCTGTCCGAGGGTGAGGACAGATTAAACAGCCTTCAGTCCCTTCCAGCTGCAGGAGTTTTGAACAAGCAGGAGGCCCTTAGCACTTACAGCACTAAGAAATTGAAACAGCAGCTAAGGTGATCTCTGTCCTGGGAAATAAAACCTCCCAGATCACATCCCAGTTTTCAAGAAAGTTCCTGCAAGCAGCATTGCTGCACGATTTCCCTGACCAGTATAAGCAGAGAACTTTTGCCAAACATAATACCAGATGCCACCTGAGATCAGACAGGCAGTGCTGGGACTTGCTTCCTAATACAGTTCTGGCTTGGAAAAAGAAATCCTCGTACAGAATCCTACAGTGTGTAGTCAGGGAGGAAAAATAAAAAACATCAAGCTAAGAAACCCTCTTATCAAAAAACCAAACAGACATCCAAACATCCACGGATCTTGGTATTTCTGATCTGACAACTCTTTGCAAAAGCAGTAGCTGCTCCAGGTCGATGCAGCTTTCGGTATCATTTTTGTCTGGTCCCTCTCAGAAGCCTCCACACACAAGGTGCACTCACCCTCCAGGTCTCTTCTTCTGCTCATTTGATTTCGTGTCTTCTGTCGGAGCCAGCTTCAGAGCACTGAGCTGCGGGGGCGCTCCCGGGTGCTGCAGAGGCTGGTGAGGCTGGGGCTGGATGGGCTGCTGAACCACATGGTGCTGGGAGATGGCCAGGACCGGCGCCGCGTAATGCTGGAGCTGCTTCGGGCTGCCCGACGGGGGTGTAGCAGCTTTCCCGTCCGGCAGAAGCGGGCCCGGCGGCCTCTGGATGACCGGTGCAACCGACGATGCTTCCTTAGTGACACTGGGAGTGCTTACAAGGGTCTGGTGGCATTGTACAAGCGGTGGGGACAGGGTGGTCTGAGCTGCTTGCTGGGGGGGGCTGGTGACAACAGGGATGGGAATGACTGAGATGGGGGCTGCCAGGGGCGGTGGCGGTGGCGGGGCTGGGGGCTCCTCCAGGGGAATGGCACTGTTCGCCCGCGGCACGCTGGCCTTGCCGGCCTTCTTCTGCTCCTGCTCCCTCTCCAGGCGGAGCTTCTCGTGCTTCTCATTCTCCTCTGAAAGAGAAACACCAACAGTGATTAATGGTGCTTCCCTGACCTTCCCCATCCACAGGCCTCTAACCAGGCTGGTGACTAACTGCCTGTCTTTCTGAGAGGGAAGTGGAGGCCCTAGGGGTAACATGGCCCGGCCCGCATCATGCCCCGAGCCCACGGCAAGACCTGCGCCCCTGGAGATCCATCCTGTGTCCCAGTCATGCTGCACCTTCCACTCATTGCCCTTTCACTCCAGCACGGACTATTTAAATACAAACCACATGCTGCCCCCACATTCAGCCCTTGAGACCAAGCTGCCGAGGTGACTCCTGGCTCCTCCGCTGTTTGCAGTGACCCGGACGTCTCCGGGGACGCCACGATCGCAGCAGCAGACAAAAAGCAAGACGCCACCCGACCAACCTCCTTCTCCCCCGTCCCAGCACCGCGTGGAGAGAAACGGCCTGATCCAGTCACTTCCCCCTCCCAAGGTCCAAACCCACAAATGGGAAGGCCTTTCTGCCAAGGGCAAACATTACTGAGCTGAACAAGATTAATGGATCTCTGAGAGCTGTGGCAGGACCTGGCTGGCAGCCCACGCCCGCTCCTTGGAGGGATCTGGTGTAGGTGCAGGATCAGTCCCCCCTTACCCTTGCGCAAGCCCGCAGGGATGGACTCAGCACCCCGAGCGATGCTTACTTCTACACCACCTTCCCAAAGCCCTCCCTGCTTGCGTCCGTATGTAAACACATCACTGTGCTCTATCGTATAGCAGAAGAAACCAATCCACAACAAAACATTTTCAATTTTTCCTTCTCTGTTTTTAAAATGGCAAAGAGCTATCGAGCATTTTATCAAGGAGCCCGCCGTGGCCTTGTGACAGCCCCAGGACAACGCCGCCATTCACTTCCAGGGAGGCAAGGACAAGCCCAGAGACCAGCCCTGACTAACAGCAGCCTGGGAAAAAGCTGTGCATTTCAGGATCGCCTCCTAAACTAGAGCCAGCACGCAGGAGACAGGGAAACCTCGTGAGCCAGGCGTCCCCCGCTCCCTGTTCTCCAAGCACTGACCCAGGACACCCAATGGCCGAGAGACAAACCGCAGCTGCAGGACTGCAGCTGGTCATAACCAACCACCCATGCAAGGCAGGGCAGGCTTCTTAGGTTAAAATACCCTGTATTTTATACTATCAAGTGTAAATCTTAGCTCAATGGACTTTACACTGATACAAACCCATCAGGGCACTTCTTTACTGCTGTGGATTTTATTCAAGGTCTTAAACTTAGCTTTGATGTGCGTACATTCCTATATGTTTTTAGAACACTAGACAAAGTAAATGAAATCTGTGTGGCCCGACTAGCAAAATAAACCTCATTAAATGCGATCCAGGTCTCCGGCTATAATTGTGTGAACATAGCAAAATGAAATTTATTTACACAAGTCCTGTGGCGCCAGTGGCCCTGGCATCTAGACATCTCACAGCCTTAACCAAGTACCTCCAAACCCGCTGTCCATGAAGCTCAGCGGCTCCCATTCCTGACAGCCTCCAAGGAGTTGCAGCAAAAAATGGTGCACCAACAGCCTGCTTGGAGCTATGACTTCTTCATAGTAATATACAAATATTTGGAAAATAAACCCTTACTTCATCAAGAAGGGATCAGAGAAACAATGCATACAGTCTGGTATCCTGTCTTATATAGTGGCCAATATCAGGTAATTCAGAGGAAGCTCTAAGAAGCATCCCGGAAGAGCCTGACCACAGGAGAAGCTTAGGCTTGACCTAAACGCTGAAGTGGGAGTGTATATTTAGGAAATTCGATAGAAAAGCATGTGTACTGCAACCTGGAATTACCAGGTTACGCTCAAACCCCCAATTATCTTCAAGAAGCTATATTAAATACAAGTGGAACAAGGGGAAAAGGGCCCCCTGGTAAGGCGACCTCACCAGCCATGGAGCTGCCCAGTCCTCACACACCACCCGAGGGTCCCTGCCGCTGCTTGGGTACTTTCTCACCCAGCTTTTGATTTTGAGGGGTGTAGTGCAAAAGCAACAGAGAGCAATAAAGGGAACGTAACTTTTATTCCCGATTCTGAATGACCTTTAGTACATGTGACCGCACAGCGTCACTGTCCCTGATTCACAGACGACGTGATTTCCTGAAGTTCCCTTCAGCCCAGGATTTCTACAGCATACATCGTATTTCCTCCAACCTTCATTAAAGCACTTTGGCCCAACTCTGCTGGCTGGTTGCCTGAACAACTCTGTCCAGAGCCGCATCAGGCCTGCAGCAGAGTGTCCGAGACCCCCGGTCAGAGGAGGCCAGCGAGGAGTGCCCGAAGAGACGCGCGGCGTGAACTTCAAGGAGGGCAGCCAGGCACCGTACCTGCTGCCGGAGGCGGGAAGGAGGGGAACTTCAAACCTTACAAACCTTAGCAGCCCTAGTTCAACACTCAGCTGCAGCAACAGCCCGAACACACATGCCTCATGAGACCAGGAATGAGGTCAAGCACCCAGCTGACAAGGTAAATACTGTCCAGCACCTGCACGAGGAGAAAGCAGCACCTGGATCGAGCTCCAGCACCAGGGCTGGATCTCCAGTCTCTGACCCTGTGGCACTTGGGAAGGCACCATGTGAAATTCAGTGATCTGGAAGGATTTCACATCCAAGGAGCACTTTTCCCACTGGACTCAAATCCAAAATGTTAATTCAACTCCTTGTAGCACCAAGTAGGAGGGTAAGTGAGCTCAAGAGCTGACTGACTCCAAAATGTGAAGTTGTTTAAACAGAAGCTCAGAGTCTGAATGCAGTATTTCTCTACATTTTCTCAAAATATTTCAGGGTAATTATCAAGATTTCCTTACAGGAAGAAGTAAAGCAGGGCAGGGTGGCAAAAACCCCAGCAGGAATCCCCTGATGTAAACAACATATATCTTAGCTACCGATGATTTCAGACTGGTTCAACTGAACAACATTAATAACTAATAAATAAAAGCCCTTTGTCTGCAATTCTTTTGCTCCACTTTGCTGCTTGGTTTGCAGCCAGAGCCAACACGATGGCCCTGGCACAGGATGCACGAGGAAATTCAACCCTGGTGACCTGCTGACTAATAGTGTTTTTTATGTGCGTGTTTGGCCACGCAGCCAGCGCCGGGGGGCACAGGTAGCTGGGAGAGGGAGAGCGTCCCGGACGCCAGCCCCTGCCAGGCATGCGCCAGACGAAAGACCGCACAACTTCCACCCAGACGTAAAACTGCACCGTGCCGGACAGGAGGGCAGCAGCAAAGAAGTCAATTAATGGAAGCTCCTGATACTTCTTGAGGTCTGATGAGGACAGCAGAACCTGCCCGTGCTGAATTCACTCCTGTACTGGCTTCCGGAGCTAACGTCATGATAGCAGAGGATCTAGAAAGGAGACCTGCAGCTGAGGTCTGCACTGATGGCAATGCTTTCCAGTGCACGAGCAGGAGTTGGCAGTGAAATTCCTACAAGTAATTTTCATTCATCGAGGAAGCTGAGAGAACAGGAAAGTAAGGTTACAAGTGTGCATTACTGATCAGAAATATTTATGTAAATGTCTCTGCGAAGCAGGTGCAGCCCTCAGGCTGCTGACAAGCTGCCAACAAGGCCTTTGGTGTTGCAAATCTTGAGCTCCCTTGAGCTAAAGAGTTTATTTCAAGGATTTTTTAGGCAAAATCTGACACCACTGAGCCACTGCCCTCTGTGTCTGACTCGTCCACAGGCAAAAAGGAACCACGCTCTTGACCCCTCCCACCACTGAGAGGACTGAAGGATCTCCAAGCCATCTCTTCCTAACACACACACCCCTTCAGGACAGAGACACTTCCACCAAGCTATGAAGATCTCCGTCTCCTGCTCACTTTGTACTCACACCTTGCAAACAAACTCAAGACACGCTTTAAAAAAGCCCCCTCGGGCTCTTTGTTTTTCCATATGAAGTAAGTTCAGCCGCTTTCCTTCACAGATACAGATAAAACCAATGAACGGTAACTAGCACGCCATGTGCTCAGACACACGTGTGGCTCATTCTTTCACGTGCAGTGCACTCGGCACATGAGCTTCTGCAAGCCCAGTATGGAAAAAGCATGCAAGGCTTAGGGCATTTTCTTGGGCTCAGAGGGACAGCTGAACCGGAAGGTGCACAGCAAAATTATGTGTAATTTCCAGTCATTCTTGACACTCTCATCAAAGGGACTGAGGACTGAATGAATCAAGGGAGTGAACCAGCCCTGCGAACCCTCAGGGGGTTGGAACCACAACCGAGGCACGAGGGGACAAGGAACCTCACCCTGCCCACACCACACCACCTGCCAAAAGGCCCACGTCACAAGAGCGGGGGACCTCAGCTTCCCGGCCAAGCCACCGAGGCGGTACACCGTAAAGGAGGACGACAGCAACACCAGCAGCAACAGGACGGAACAGCAAATCTTGCCACAGGAGGACACAGAAACAGGGTCAGCGTTCCTGACCGGTGGACTGGTGCTATTTTAGGGCCCTGATGGTCCAGGAATACACAGTGCCAGGCACTCTTAACTTTGTTACCTAATAATCTGCTGGGTTTAAATTTATCTCCTCCCTTTTGCCTGCCCTGGAAATGCCACCCATCTGTAACGGCAAGCGCTGCCAGCAAAGGGAGCAGCCGTGCAGGCAGAACAGCACGTGCCTCCTGGGCCGGCAGCATGGCCCGGCAGCGGCCAGGGTACGTCACTGAGCCTCCTGCCTAAGTCATGCCGCAAGAGCACTGCATAAGCATGCCTTTACGGTATTTTAATGCCCTTTTTAATGCTCCTATTTTGTACTAGGGACACTATCAGTACTCAGAATTTATCAACGGCATGCGCCTTTGCATAATCAAGCATCTTACCTCTACATATGCTTAAAGGTCCCTCCCCAGTACAGAGAGAGAACATTACTTAACTTCATGAACAGTTAGGCAATGGCAGTTCCGTGGTGTAATTTTCTGAATAGTTTGAAGTGTTTCTCCGAATCATTCAATGCTTCTGGCAGCTTATACTGCACACCATGAACCATTACAGACCCGGAGAAGAGTGACCTGGGTTTCACTCACACTGGTTCTACAGCAGCGTCACCCACAGGAGTCACTCCTCGTTCATACCAGGAAAGTGCTGGGGACAGAAAGAGTCTCCAGATTTTTCCCATTCCCGAGGCTGGCCCGGCCGCACCTGGGGAGGGAGACTGCCACGCTGAGAGGAAGGGCAGGCTGGAGCCTGAAGGCTGGTTTCTGTTTCTGCAGGTCCCTGACTCCGCAGGGGAGACGCAGGAAAGGGAAGATAAGAACCGAGTCAGCAGTACTAGAGACCAGCAATGCTCAGCCTGAGCCAGGCTAACTGAGTCATAACTAAGGCTGCTGACACAAGAGGCTACGCCAGCAACAGCCACTGGCGCTTTCAAGTGCCTTGAAACAAGCTGGAGGACTGAGACCGCTTTAAAATTGTGACCCCTTTCTCTGAGCCCCTCTGAATTTTGGTTGACAACAGCACAACACAAGCCCAACTTCTCTCTCCCATCTTTGCTAAAACCACTGTTTAGTGCCCATCCTGTCACACCACTGCTTCTCCATCAGCAACGTGGCAGCCCTGAGACACAGCACTTCTCCCTGAAACCCCCCGGGCTCCCGGCTGTGCCCACGGCTGCAGCAGGCCCTCACCGGTGAGACTACGGGAAAGAGCTGGCTGCAAGGCACCCGACGACTCCCCAACGAGACCACTCGCTGCTGCTCATCTAGGTGCTGTGTTCAGATTTCAGCCTGCTACCAAGACGTCCCATTTTCCTTCCTATTAACACAGACTGGGCCACAAACATTGTATTCTTAAAGACTAAACCGCATTTTAGAAGCGTGCTATTCACAAAGGATACCGAAATGCTTCACAATTAGAAATCAGAAGCTCGTGATACACTCCAGAGGAGTGAGAGCTAAGCCAGCCCTCCTGGGATTTCAATTTCAGGGTTTTAAAGACCCTAGCTCCCACCTGATACTCCCTCTGCTGAGCTATCCTCACTGCGCTGGCACACCGCACACTCATACCTTATCTGCAGATGATGTCACCGTTCACTATTAATGACAAAAATACTTGAATCTCCATTTTCTCAGCCAGAGGATGATGACACATTTATGTCATATCTGTGAAAGCAAAGGAAAACCAGCCTTCACATAAACTATCCCTTCCTTAGCGCCAACCAATACAGACCATTAGTGGCTTCAGCATGACGGCTTATCTGTAACTCTTAGAAATCAAAGTGACCTCAGTATCCAAACTTGAAATAAATTAGAGAAATGACAAGATGATCCTCTTGCCTGATAAAAATCTAGGGTGCAGACACACTTTATTCCTACTTTATGGAGTCAGACGGCTTACGAGGAAGTGAGTATTTCCCTTCAACAAAACCATCGCGGCTCCTGGAACACAGAAAGGAAGGTTGGAAAGACCCTCAAGAAATCTTGTAGTTCATCTCCCAAGCCCCAAAGAAGTATCAACCATAACTAAATAATAGCTGGCAGATGTTTCTCAAAGCAACAGCTTCTCAAATCTCTACGGATAATTTACATTGTGCTTTAATTTGCTATTCCAGTGCTTAACTGAAACCCTGAATCAGCTCGAGATAGTCATTTTAGCTGCATTTTAGTTACAACTAACTCTTAGTGGACAGAAAAAAGAAATAAAGGGCCAGGATTTAGCAGTACTACAAAGGAAAAGAAAACAGATCAAGACTGCTAAAAAAATAAAATCATCCTGGACAGCCTTATATATACACAGACCACCCCAGCGCCTTCAAGCCGTAAAGGTGCCGAGCACGCTGCGGGCTGTCTCTGCTGCAGCACTGAAGCTTGGCAGGCTGGACTGATGTAAAACCCTTGTTGCACCTTTCTGCCGAGTTCAGGATAAAGTGCAGAAAAGCACTGGCTCTGACAGGCGGGGTGGGCACCAACAGCACATGACGATGGAGCTTCACCTGGGCAGACAACCAGTAGAGCTGTTTCTATACAAGATGTTGTCTCAATGCTTTTCCATTGGGCATTGGCATTTTTAAGAAATAAGGAGACGAAGTAATGTGTTCTGATAAGCCGTTATTTGCAAGCTGAACAGCTTCTGTGTCGCGGTTCAGAGCAAAAAGCTGCACTGACGACAGGCAGGACCCAACCCCACCTGCTCCAACGCACACGAGGAAACCTGTGTCTCCCCTTCTGGCCCTGGGACAGTGTGACACCCCGAAGTCTGCAGAAATACGGCGAACAGTGACGCGCTTTAAATGTACTGGTCAGAAAAGAATGGTAAACATGAGCTGACTTAATAAACCATATTACAAATAAGCTATGTACTCTTAAAACAAAACGCCCAGACACTTGATGTGCCCAAAGAAGAGACTCCGAGACCCCACTTCATCCACCACTTGCAAGCAGGTCTCAGACCCTCGGGATGCAAGCGGTCTGCAAACTTCTTTAAGTCAGACAACACACTGCTTGTATTTTACACACGCTAGAAACTGAAGCAAAGACAGGTTAAATGACTTCACGTCACACACTGAGTCATGGCAAAACCGGATCTGTCGGTTAATTACCAGCCTGTTAGGTAAGCATATCTGCTCGACACCAGTTCACTTTATGTTCCTCGATCCCCGTGACGAGAACGACAGCCCACTGCTGCACCTTCATCCCAGGGCTGTGCCAGGGGTTGTTTTCAGAGGCTGCTCACGCTAGTCAGCTCTCTTCTCAAGGAAATGAATGGAAATGTGCAGATTACCCTTCAGAATCCTATCTCTGAACTTGAAAAAGAAAAGGAGATAAGAATCCAAAGGCATCTGCCCATCAAAGCACACTACACGTGCACAGGAGTCGGAAGCTTTCCTTAGGTGCTTTCCTCAACCACCCGAATTGGCTGCACCAGGGCAGTTATCCCTGCCATCTCTGAATTCACACAGACATTGCTCTCAGTCACAGAGCAAGGCTCTTCCCAAAGTTAATGTCTAACTCACAGAGTCAGCGTGCCGGTACCCCGAGAGGAAGAGAAGGTTCTCGGAGCAGGCCACATCCTCCTCCAGCACACATTACAGCATCACTGCGATTCTGCCCACCTTCACAACAAAAGCCTTGAACCTACAGCATCCTCTGCCGATGGTCCAGGCACACACTAGGCGTGTGTTCCTCATCAAAAGTACTCGGTATGGCCTTTGTTCGCTCAGCTTCCTGCAAATTGACAAGAGCTCAATCTATGTCACACCTAAAACTACAGCACATCCTCACTAGCAAGATCCTGCCATTTGGCCATTGCAATTTTAATCAGAGAGAACAAAGCTAATCAAAACCGGAGTGACAGACTTGTTTGAATGCTTCAAGCTGTCAGCTGGTAGCAGGAGATTTTCCAGAGGGAGATACCTGCTCTGCCTGAGTGTCTGACAGTACCCAGATCATCAACTGATCTACGTGAGGTGCTGCCGAGTCCTCTCAAACCTTCTCTTGTGGTGATGTGACTGCACTGATGTGAGGGGTCGACTGAACCAGGGAGTATTTTGTGCTGCAGTGAGAAAACCTGGTGTATTTTGAGCTGCATAAATACTCAGAGATTGGTCTGGAGACTTCATGAGCAAGGATGCACTTCTAACAAGCTAAATTGGTATATGAAGGAAACAGAGTCAAGAAACGGACCAAAATTTCATACAGTGGACATCGAATTCAGATGGTCCTGTTCATACCAGGCGATTTTGGAAAGGTCGGAGAGAGTGCTACAGAGGGAAAATGAGTTTGATCTCTTTCCCAGCATCTCTCACACCTCAGGCTCACTAGCCTAAGCAGAACCAGCTCCCATGTACCTTGCTGAGGTCACTCGGACAGTCTCTCTCTGTCCCTTGCCTCTTCTACATAGAAAAAATACAAACACACTGTCCAGGGACACTGGGAATCCCATTACCAGCAACAGCACTTAGGTACACTTCCTGGTAGCACTATCTGTGTTAGGCACCAGGCATAAGACGTGCTAACACATGGCACATCCATCACCTTCTGCAGGGTTATCACCACCATGTAGGCTCTCGTGAGTGACCACCGGATACACATCACGCTTCTTATGTAGAACCCTGAGCACAGAAACACAGAGGAAACAACTTTCTTTATCAGATGCTGCTATGAAAAAGACCAGAGGCCGAAGGAAGGACAGGGAAAGCCCAAGGGAATCTGTAACTAGTAAGTAGAGTGAATTGTACCATCTGCAATAAGACAGACCCGATTTCAGTACGAAACACTCCTCATTCATCCCTATCCCATCCTCTACAATGCAACGCAGGCAGCTTCCAGTCGGGAGATGTTGTGATGTTCAGCAAGTCCGGGGCTTTCTATACTCCAACCTCCACATCCAGCTAGACAGGAGACGGGGAGACAGAAAGCTCAACTTTACTTCTTGCCTTATCAAGGTACAGCTTTAGGTAAGACACTTCACATCCCTGCACCTCAGCTCTTCCACCTGTGACCTTTCAGAAGCGCTGCAAAATTCAACTAAGGATTATAAAATGCTTTGATGTCCCTTGGTGAAACATACAATTTATCAGCAAGTGGAAGGGAATTTTGCTTTTCTTTTTTTGGCAAGGAAGACCTGCAAACTCTATATGCTGTATTTTGTATTTGTATTATTGTTCCCTTTCTAAGCATACCCGTATGCCTGTATGTGTAGAGAAGACAGGAGGGGATGGAGATGGAAAATGAAGGACAACTTATGTGCAGTTTTACTGCTTCCTTCAGACTGCAGCTGCACGCGTGGATCTGCCCTGAACCGGAGCCCCCAGACCAGCACGCAGGGTGGGCAGCCAGCATGCTCCTCAGCACTACGTGTCTCAAATACCTGAAAAGGAACAAGTTAAAAACAAAGAAACCCTTTCACATATTGAATATGATTACACTGTGGGACTCACTGCCACAAGATACCACTGAAAGGATCAGAGCTCTCTTCAATTTAAAAAGGAAAAAAAAAAAGTTTTGATGTTTATATAGCTTTGTCAGGTTTCGGGAAGTTCAGTATTTTATAGACAAAATTCAACTGACGTGTCCCACCGTACAGAAAAAGGCATCAGCGGGGTTAAGGTAAGCAGATTCCCAACTTCCAGCCCTGCTGTTGACCTATGACGCAGTGCTGCTTCGCGAAACAATGAGATAAAAAAGTTACTTTAGTGCATCAAGAGAGGTGAATTGTGCAGACAACATCAGATTTGGCAGGGGTCCTCTGTGTGGACCAGTGTGACTCCCTCATCCTCCAACACCAGGCCTGATTGCCTACACCAGGTCTGCACTCATCATAAAGGAAAAAAAGGGAAAAAAGATAAAGGAAAAGGTGAGCACAACAGCTAGTCTAGCACTTGAGTAACAAGATAGGTTAGGATTACATGAGGCAATTATTTTCCAGAAGCCAACCTGCTGTCAGTTTATTCTGTGGTTTCATAGGCAGGCCTATGCAGACTCCAGAAAGTGAAGCTTGTGTTCATGTCTTGCAGAGCTATTTCCACCTGCCACCGTGGCACCGGCGTCCTCCGGGGCTGCAGCGTAGCTCTTGTGTACCTGGAAGCCTTTGAATAAAAGATAAACACCGCACTATTTGTCAGGAGGCACTTTAACTTCTCCTGAAAGCAATCCAGGAGGATGTGCTGCCTGCAGCATGCAAACAATGACTGAGGACACGGCCACATGCACCCAGAGACGCTCAGGACCTGCGTGCATCCTGAGCTGGCCAGACACAAGCCAGCTCTGGCCTAAAAGCCCTATGGGGTTTCTGGAGATGTGTCTCAACATCATACTGATGAGACCTGTTGAGGGACACCAGAGGAGGACCACACCGGGCACAGCACCAAGCCGTTGCTGAAACACGGATGCCGGGCGTGAGCTGGTCCTCTTCCTCACCCATCAGCACTAGGTGGGTGGCACTACAGCCAAAGGAGATCTTTCTGGTCACCACACATCTTGTTATCAATTCCACACAATTAAGATCTGTGCAAAAATGGCAGTTAGATGAGACGGGAAAGGCCAGGACTATGCTTACTGTTCGGTCACCACCCTTGCTGGCAATGTTCAAAAAAATGAAAGGCTATAAACATAACTGAGCAGCATCAAGCAAAGCAGAGAGCGCAAGCTGAGTGGGTCGCAGACAAGTATCTATGGGAAAAACCCTAAGAAAACAAATATTAGTTACTTGCAATTATAAATAAACTTGTTTTCTTAGATCATGAAACATTCTTGGATTAACCTAAATTCAAAGAAATCAGCCACCCTCTAATTCAAGTCAAATATCTCTGGAGTTTGCAAAAAACGGAAAAAGGATTCAGTTCGCGGGTTTGTGCATGTGTAAACTTGTTTACAGAAAAAAGTGTTATCAGCAGCAACATTATGAAGCATGAAAGCGCAGATGTGGATGAGACAAAAGCGCTTCAAAATCCTGACTCCCAAAACAATAAGAAACGCTGAAGTACGTGGCCAACATGGTGCATGTCCAGGGTGTGTCTGTTATTGTTTGCATTCCCATGGTGTTAATATTATAAGAAATGCATAACATCAACTATCCCCCTCGCCTCCCCCAAATCTGTTGTTTTTTTCCCCATAAATTAATGAGATCCAAATAAAATTATTACTAGTATCATCATTTACATAACATTTGTCATCACGTAGGAGAACGGGTCTGCTGAGCGTATAAACAGGAGTACGGATGATGAGCCAAACCACTGAAGTTTCATTTTCATTACATCTACATAAATCCATCACACGCATTTGTAAGAAACTACTTCCGAGTCACACAAGCCCAGCACAAAGCATGCAACAAATCCAAGCACGCTCACAGGACCAAACTGGGATGTGCAAAGAGCACACAAGCAAAAGAGCCTCCAAAAAACACTATTTTAAGTCAGTAAACAGCAGAAGTGTTTATGTTGTGGAAGTGTCATCAAGAGCGAGGATTCTATAGATGTAAAAATCATTAGATGTATCTGGGTAGTTGTTTAATTAATAAGCATACAACTCCCTCTAACTTAGTCTGTTACTTGCATTTCATTTGCTCCCAGTTTACTTGGGAGATAACAACCAACCACTTGTGCTGCGGCCTTCGAATTCCAGCAAGTGTTTTAGCAAAGTCTGAACTCAGCTTTAATAACAAACGGCACCACTCAAGGATCCCCACAGCACCGAAGTCTTTTTCGCCCCCGAGGTCTCAGTCGCGACTGTACTACACTCTGTCAAGCTGTTACTCTTCTCGGTACAGCTCAAGCTGATGTATTTAGACTCTGCTTTTTTCAGCAATTTGAAATTATGTTCTCTGAAATATTAATACATATATAATATTCAACAGGCTTTTGGGTAAACATCTTGTAAACACAGTTCGAACCATATTGTAGGCAGTGCCTGATTACCTAGGGACACAAGAAGTGACACTGCTGTGTACAGGCTGACGGCAGGGCAGGCTCCACAGTAAAAGCCGCCCGGGTTTCCCCGTGGTGGGTCAGAGCCGCCCGCGGCAGGGCTTCACCCCAGCCACACAGGCAAACCCAAACAGTGCCACAAAGAACTCCCCAAAGCAATAAACGTCCCTCAGAGAGCTGAAGGCACAGAACAAGACTTGCTCTGGTTACAAATTAAGAAAAGCAAAGCCTACATGGTTTAATTTTCCACTGGTGGAAGAGGCTGAAGGAGCAGGAAAAGCCACGTGCATACCTGCCGGAAAATGAAACAGACCAGAGCAAAGGCAGTGGTTACGGCCAGGTGTGCGCTCATGGAAACCAGCACCTCGGTGAATACAGCAGGACCTGACTCCAAAGTCGAGTGCTGCTTTATTTGCAGACCTGCGAAATGCGGCATGCGCTGCACGAGGCAGCACGTGGGTGGCTGGGGACACCACCACCCTGCCTGCGCCGCTGGCCTTCTCCTGGCGCTTCAGGGGTCTCCAGTGTCACACGTAGCACCATGCACTACGTGGAAGGAGAGGGTAGGTGTTGGGGTACGTGCTGGGATAGGTGCTGGGGTAGATGTCGATCTCACAGCTTTGCAGACACCACTTTCCTCCCTGAAGGGCGTGATTTCATTTCAGGTTAGTCCACGGAGCTCTCCCAGCAGTTGTACCCTGCACTACTCCCCAAAGCTTGAGATTATTCAAGCTGCACCCCAGCAACTATCAACCACAAAAAGAAGTACAAAGCAGTGACAAAAGCTGCTGGCCTGACCTCCCCGTGAGTCCAAAGAGGACGTGAAGATCCAGCTGCTGTCTGCAGAGGGAATCCTTCTGCATCTCCTCTTTTCAGAAAGCTCTCCTCCTCAGTTACGAGCCGCACACAGAGGCAGTCCTCCACCACCTCTGTCCTGCTGGGAAGCGGCCATGATGCTCTCCATGCAGGCAGAACAAGCGGCTATGCCCCACGTGCTGCGTTTTCGTGTGCAAGCACCGCAGCGCTCCACATCTCCAGGAATCCCCGTGAAGGGGACTAGCCGTACCTTAACCCTCTTCCCTCCCAAAGCCATTCTGCTGTCCTTTCTCCAAAACCTTTCTGGTTTTTCCTTCTATCGGTTTTCTTCCTCATAAAGACAGGGTGGTGAACGTCTGGCTGAACGGAAGACTTTTTCCTCCTCTACTCCCAGGTTTGAAAAAGCAACAGCCTAAGTGTTTACGGTGTTTTACCATCTGGTTGGTAGGAGAGCCTGGACACCAGCTGGGCAGACCCACAAGGTATGACCACAGACATGCTCACCATCCTGTTAGCAGGGACTCCTGAGCAGGTTCCCGTCCTGCCCTCCCGCCCGAGGCCGAGCACTCTGTAGCACCGCTGTCAGCTTTTGGCCCAGCAGCCTTAAATCAGTTTTATTTTAGATTTTCTAATGCTGTTCCCAAATTGCACTGATTTTAAGGCCAGACTGACCCCCCAGCATTACGCAGTGTAACTGTGGGTGTAATGCAGACCGTAAAGCTTCTCTGAACACACATCTGAAGGGGGAGGAGAGGAAGACAGCGAGGGAAGGAAGCCAATCTAAAACACTTCATTGTTGCCCAGTCTTTCCCAGCTATTTCTCTGCTTGTGCTCTTCCCTGACATCTTCCTGTTACCCAAAGTTCAAGCGACGGGCTCCTCCCTCTCATGCCACACATCTTCCTGGTGCTCACGACTTCCCTGAAGTAGCCACGTTTGCACTGACGCTGCTGCTCCACCAGCCAGTTCAGCCCTGACATGTCTGTTGCAGCAGAAACGGTACCTGTGCGTATCACGGCAGAACACAAAGCACCCGATCACAACCGAGGGAGCGCTGCACTGGGTGCTGTGCAACTCACCCAGGCAGGTCCTACCCGGAGCAGGCTTTGGTACAAAGCGGCATGTCTACGCACCCTTGTGTGCTGCTCTTGGTAACTAGAAAACCCGCCCAATTTCTTTTTTTTTCGGTGCATTCCCTTGCCCACGCCCCTCTTCGAAATAATTTCTGCCTTCAGAGGTTACCCAACGTGATGCAGCTCCTGCCTTGCAGTTGCCACTTGTTCCTATGTATCCCACTTGTTGCATCCGTTTACAAAACGTTCTCATAATGTGGGGTAGCTGGATAATAATTAAAATCTTTCCCAGCAGCAGAAGATATAATAAACAACCCTGCTTAATACCCGTTCTCCAATGTTTAACCTCTGCTATACCCAGAGCGCATTCGCCATCTGTGAGCCACAGAGCCGCGAATATTAACAGCCACCGAGCAGGTCTGACGAGAAAGGCGATGGAACTGTCACAGGCTTAAAACAGGCGCACGGAGCCCTGTCACCCACCCTGCTCGGGGCTGCAGGGGCAGCTCCCGCCCCGGCTGGGGTGCCGGTGCCAGGCCAGGAAAAGGGGACCACTGTAGTCCATAAATCCACGTTTTTGTTTCTTATTGAGGGAGCCTCTTGCCCCTGCATGCCCCCGAGCTGCCTTGCTTCCTAACATCTACTATCTCCCGCATGACTCATCACTGAAACAATGGGTTTGCAGCTACAGCCCGGCAGCGGCACACAAAGAGCTGCTCCCTCCCGCTCCTGCCGCAGGTACACGCTCCTGTCACTGAGCTAATGCTGCATCACGGCTCCATCGCCCCTTGCAGCACGCAGACGGAACGGCGCAGCGCGATCCGGCCTTCGCAGGGACGGTTCTTCATTAGCAATTGGCTGACAGCGTTGCCG